TTAAAAAGCCCTCCGCCTGACACGGCCGACACCCTTGCGCACAGGCATTCACTCCAGAACGTCTAGACATGCCCAAGTTTCTCTATCACCATCACATATGGAATGTCCATGCCACTTTGTGATACAAGCAAGTGTCACATTTAAGTTGCCAACCATTCATTGATCTGCTGTTACGCCTCTGATCCGTCAGGCTACCGGAAAGCCACTGTAATAGGCTGTTGTTTCCCCTCTATGGATGTGCTGATGTGCAATAAAAGGCAGGAATATTTAATAAAATAGGTAAACAAAATGCTTGTGTAGTCTAGTGCACGGGTCATTAAGCCACTACAACAACCCCAGGTGCTGCTCATTTTGTTTTCATGTCTTACTTTGGTCGGTGAATTGTGTTTAATCAAAGTGCTTTTGAGGTGGACCTCATCTGTGTGTTTGCTTTTCTGCAAGCACAGATGATTACTGAAGGAAAACACACTACCAGTACATGGTTCATTTAACAATATGTTGAACTTGGTTTGATAAATTTCATGCTCTAAAAACATGAAACCGCATGTTCTCGGATGCGTATCTGAGTACTAATATCACATGTTTCCTGTGCACCTGTATCGGTCTCTGTTCAAGTGTGGTGTTGTCCTTTCAAATATGAGTCCCACACAGACCTGCTAAACATACAGTATTAGTCAGTGCACGAGTCAGTTGTCGTTGAGAGAAAGCTTAACCTCCATATTGGGAAGGTTGTATGACAACTTTAGTTACAATACAATACAATACATCCTGATTTATATCGCGCTTTCATAACAGCAGCAGCTGCCCAACTTGGGAACGACCTCCAAGCGGTGTTGGGCGTGCCTTCGGGATACAAACAGTTCCCAGTCAACGGCCGACAACTGGGTCTGCAGGTACCCGGGTCGCTGCGGCTTTAGGAGCCGATTTGGGACCCAGTTGGAGTTCGCTCAACAACAACAACAGCAGCAACTGTAACAAAGCGCTTAACAAAACAGTTAACATAAAGTAGTTAACTAATTATATTCAGCCTAAAGAATCAGGGGCGTGATTGATGGAATTTAAACTCCCCCAGAGGCACTCCCAATTTTATTTCACTTGTTTTATTTGTAACCACAATTTGATTCAGGCCAGGAGATTATGAAGTTTTTAGTGAGAATTCACACATTTGTTAAATTCTTAACGAAAGGCAAAACTTTCAAAATGTAAATCGAGTTGCCTACGTTGATCTAATCTGAAAAACATATGTTTGGTAGATTGAAAAGGACCGTATTTTCTGCACTGTAAGGTGCACCTAAAAACATTCAATTTTCCCAAAAGCCGACAGTGGACCCTACTATCCGATATTCCCCATTGAGTTGTTTCCCTGTTCCTCTGTGTTCCTATGCCATTGAGTGGTGATTATGAGCACAAACCAATTGTAACGTAAAAGGGTTTTGCCCAACACTAATTGACATGTGCATTCACTAACACACACTCAAACAGACAACGACCTGGACTTTGTGAGCTCTGCCCAGCCATTAACAAACAAATAATACCAAAAGCAGAGTTAACTACTGACGAAACAAAGGAGGAGAAAAACAAGACTTTTAAGTTGTGATATGATCCCAGGAGCTTTGTGTGCCTTGTCTTCATAACGGAGAAAAGCAAGACTTTTAAGTTGTGATGTGATCCCAGGAGCTTTGTGTGCCTTGTCTTCATAACTTTTGTCTTAACTATAAGGCCATTTGGATTTATATGTTTCATGTCCTTGCCTAGTTCTCATGGCTTTGTTCCAGCTGCAGTGGTTGGGAAGGCTTTATTTAAATAAAGCTGTTTTGTGTTGTTTAATATTGTATTACACTTAGCGCAGCTCCATCTAGTGGATGCATAGCACACCCGCAGCCACTATTAAGGCTTCTATTCTACGGGTCTTATAATACAATGTGCCCTACATATGAAAACATTTTTGAAATAGGCTATTCATTGAAGGTGCACCTTATAATCCGAAATGCCTTATTGTGCGGAAAACACGGTAGCTAGAATCAAGGACATTTCAGGCATTCAACATGACTTACTTTTAGTAATGCCCCCCGCAATTTTAGAAAACAAAGCAATCTCTTTCTAACTCATTCTTCGTCCATTGCTATCTGATCACTCGTCTTTACTGTTCTTTTAATCTGCTAAACCTGCATGCTCTCTGCCTGAGGTGATTTTTGGCAGAGGATGCTTGCCCTACTCAGTAGCACTAAGTGGATCAACCTGCATGTACTTCTCTGAGCACATGCCATCTTTATGCTCCCCCGCACACACTCTCTTTGAGAATACTTTTTATTCTGCAATAACTGAGAGGGAGTGAACGTGTTCTGCTAATAGGACATAGTAGATCGTGTACATGATAAGAGCTTGCTAAAATTTTTAGTGACTTGAAGATCACGTGGTTGTGGAGCCAAACTTATATGATTTGTTTTGTATTCATTACCCGAGATGAAGATGAAGTACAGTAATCATAAAATTATGTTTCTGAAAAAAAACAAGGTGAGTTGAAACAGATTTTGAAACTACGAACTAAAACACAATCAAATTCAGACAGTATCATTACAAACATGCTGCCCCCGTTTTTTTTTTAATTAATTTGATGTTTTTAAGAATTATGATTTGCATTTTCTCATGCTAAAGTCACTGGGCCCTGTTTTCACACCCAGCTCATGTCTAGCACAAAGTACAGTTTAACTCTGCACATGGGGAAATTTTTCTTTCTTTTGATGGTGCTATTAAAATATTTTCAAAATGATCATGATATTAATTTGTCCAATTGATATTTGCGATCATTCAGAATCTGTCTTCCTGCGCCTTGATCAAATACACTGGAATGTCTTTACATAATCTATACCAAAATTTAGACCTGCTGTTAGGTAATCTAAAATCTTGTCTACTTTTTGGTCACCAAATTTGCTGAGAGAAGTCAATATAACAACAAAAAAATAATAAATCTGTGACTTGGTGAATTTGCAAATGGCGTAATGCAAATGTGTTGAGCTCCAATGTAATAACAAAAAAGAAATCCAATATCCATTATCGTATTGAGTCCTTTCGGCACATTCTGTTGCGACGTGACGAGAAACATATTGGTCACACAATTAATATAATTTAATTAATCTGAACATGTGAAAAGCAACATATTACAAAATAAAACTCTAGTATTAAGTTCATTTGCTGAAGAAAATAATGGTAATGTGAAACTGTAGATGTATTGTAAAACTGTGGGGGGGGGTGGAATTGTAAAATGAGGGTTTCAACGAGAAACTAAAACAAATACAAGAAAGGTATCAGAGAAGCAGTTTAATGTTTACCTTAGTACAAGGTCAAGGTCATCTTTATTGTCAAATACGCCCTAGGTACAACATACAGCACACATGAAATTTCTTACCTCTCAATCCCTAGTGCAAACATGCTGTGCACTAAAAGACACACAGCTCAGGTTAAGGCAGTGAAACGAGACTGTATAAAAAAAGACGTGTAAATCTAAACAATATAAACAACGGCACTTGTGTCTATTGCAGGTTAACGTGAAGTAGTGCATTGTGCAATAAGCGGATGTCGGATGATGAGGGGAAGGGCATAGGGCAGGGAGGGGGGGGGAGGGTTGCGTCAGGAATGGCATCCGGCGTAAAACTTTTGCCAAGACGACCACGAGCGGTCGGAGAAGAAACTGTTCTTAAGCCTGCTGGTTCCAGCACGGAGACTCCGCAATCTCCTCCCCGACGGCAGCAGGCCGAATAGGCTGTGAGATGGGTGGGTGGGGTCACCTGCGATCCGGATGGCATGGCTTGGCGGGTCAGACGAGAGTTGTAAATATCCCCGAGTGGGGGGAGAGAGACACCAATTATCTTCTCAGCTGCTCTCACGATGCGCTGCAGAGTCTTTCGGCAGGACACAGTGCAAGCGCCCTACCACACGGTGATGCAGCTGGTCAAGATGCTCTCAATGGTGCCTCTATAAAATGTCTGCATGATGGGAGGCGCGCGCGGGGCTCTTGCTCTCCTCAGTTTGCGGAGGACGTACAGGTGCTGGCGAGCTTTTTTGGCCAGTGACGAGGTATTGTGGCTCCAGGACAGGTCTTCAGAGATATGCACTCCCAGGAACTTGGTGCTGTTCACCGTCTCCACTGTGGTACCGTTGATGGTCAGTGGAGCATGCTAGGAGGAGAATGTTGTCTTTGCACCACAAGGCCAAACTGCTCACTTCACTCCTGTAAATTGTCTCATCGTCGCTGTTGATGAGATGTATCGTGTCAACAAACATTGAGCAAAATGTTATTCACAATTCCATTCATTTGATGTGTTTTTATGTTAATGCCTTCATGAGGTTTGAAGCGTTGTAAATGAGTTTACTCTTGTTTTGTTGTCACCATGTAGCTAAGCTAAATATTTAATGTTCTACAACACTTTTTGGCCACTGTTGCTGTTTGAGTTGCCCCAGAAACCCAAAGACTGAGAAGAAAGAGAACTTTTTTTTAATGCCCCTTTCTCATTAACTATAATTATCCTCAAAGATAGAAAGGGAAGGTTATACTCATTAAATTCTGGCCTGCCCCTTCACTTCTAATGTATGCTCTGATAAGTGAACTATCTTTCCTCACGTTATCACTTCTCGATTCCCACGTGCTTTAAGAGGAGAATGAGTGGGAACTTACTTTAAGTTCAGTTTAAGTTTAAAAAAAAGAAAAAAAAGAAAAAAAAACCTTCTTGAGAAATATTCCAGGGTCAAAAGTATTGAGCTGTTTGTGCAGTTAAAGCACAAGATTGAATAATCTGCATTCAAGGCAACCCTAAAGGTTTTACATGGGGTTTAGGTCAGGGATATCAAAGTCTTCCACAATCTCCCAGATGTCATGGACTGTCTTTAAAGTATAGTTCAGAAAGAAAGAAGCGACCATTTTTATTTCTTTTGCACCTTTTATTTCATGAACCACAGGATTGAATGTAAAAATCACTCCCTGCATGCTTCATGTTTCCCTGCAGATGCCAACGCATGCCCGTCCAAGGATTTTCAGTGCCGTAACGGGAAGTGTATAGCACCCACCTTTGTATGTGATGGTGACGATGACTGTGGCGATGCCAGCGATGAAGAGAAGTGCTCAAATCCCACCTGCGGCCAGCACGAGTTCCGCTGCAATGACTCGGAGTGTATTCCGGCGCTGTGGAGCTGTGACGGGGATCCTGACTGCAAAGATAAGTCCGATGAATCCATGGAGCGCTGCAGTAGGAGGACCGAGCCCCAGAAACCACGTTGCATGGTGAGCGAGTTCCAGTGCGGGAGTGGAGAATGTGTCCGCATCAACTGGAAATGTGATGGAGATGCCGACTGCAAGGACAAATCCGATGAGACAAACTGTCGTGAGTGAACTGCCTGTCATTCATCAATTCATTGACAAGTAGTTAGACTTACTGGACACATCTTTAGTGACACTTAAACAATGATTGTTTATTTTCCATGTAGTGTATCTGGTATACAACTGCAGTGTGTTTTGATCATTTTCCTTACCGTATTTTCCACACTAAAAGGTGCACTGGATTATGAGGCGCACCTTCAATGAATGGCCTATTTTGTAATTTTTTTCATACATTGGGCATTATAAGACGCAATCTACAATGCATTCACTAGATGGAGCTATGCTCAAGGAAACACCAACAGACCGATAAGATGTCAGTAAAACTTATTTAATAAAGCAGCGACACAGTTCACTTAACCAAGAGCAAGTTATAACATTGACTCGTTAACGTTGAACTCTCTTGCCGCTGCTCTATTTCCGTTTTCAACTGCGTAACCCATCGCCTTAAGTTTGAACTCTGCGTTGTCAGCATGTCTCGAGCAAGGAGCCGTTTTGGGGTCAAAATATTACCGTAATGACCATACACAAGGCACATCGGATTTTAAGGCGCGCTGTGAGCTTTTAAGAAAATGGAAGGCTTTTAGGTACGCCTTTTAGTGCAGAAAATACGGTAAGTTTATTTTCTCCAAGTGAGATGAAATATTTCCTGTGCGACTCTCAGACGTCTGCTTTAATCGCAAATAAATTGATGACTGCAGCAGTGATTATATCACAGCCATTCCATAGGGCTGATGCATCGTGCTTTGGCTCACGGCGTCATGCTTTGCAATTTAAATGGGATGCCATGAGATGAATCTGATTGGAAGCTTAGGAAGTGCTCTCTTTCTGCCAATATCATCATTGGTTTTCAATCTACAATTTCAGCGTTTGTCTCCTTGAATAAGTTCCACATCGTCAAATGAGTATGACATTTAGACTTTCAATTCCACTTATTGACAAGACTGATGGTAAGATGTGCGATAAAAAAAAAAAAATTTAAAAAAAAGCAAAATTCAGCATTCACACAAGTATCTCAGTTGTACCGAATGTTTAGACTGGTGAATGCATTCTTATGGTCACTACGGATCATGTTTTCATTGGCACATAATTTGTTAATAATTAGAGTACATGTATCTTTTAATGGGGCAAAAAAATGAAGCACTTTCAAGATGACTGATGGATGATCAATACAAACTTTGTCATAATGAATCAATCATGGGTTGCCATGCAACTGTGGGATCTGTAAAAGCAGGAGAAGCCGACAGTGCTTGCCTGACTGTGTGTTTGTTGCATGTGCATGTGTGGGAGGTGAAGGTCTTCGATGAAACACAAAGCCCATCTGGTCTGCTCTTCACACCACTCAGGGACATGACAGCAGACTCGCGCTTGCAACGTGAAACACACACATGCACACATTTAGCCACACACATACCCACACACTCACATATTTTCCAAAGACTAAGGCTGGCGCAGGGACTTTAAGTTTCATATCTAACAGATTTGATAAACGTAGCTGCGCTTACTTGGTTGCTGGCATACACGCGGCTCACTAATTACACAATCAAAAGGGGCTTTGTAGAACACATACTCCCATCTGGCATGACCATGTTGGAAATCTCGTCACAAAACAGATTACTCAGTCTTTTATCTCCGACTTGAAATGCCTCCTTCACTTAGAGGGGTGACTTTTGAATGGCTTGTGTAGTTGGGCCTGTGGTGTGCTTGCATACTCATAAAATGTGAAATAATACTACGACAAATGATAATAATTATAGTCATGATTATTATGACCATTAAAAAAACTGGGGGATGCAGTGCCAAAGATGACTGCGCCCCCACCCCCCCCAAAAAAAATGTTCAGCTGTTTCAGGAGGCTTTTACTGACATGGCAACAGCAAAATAAACAGTTTTATAGTGGCAGAGAAGATTGAGCCCACATACTCCGCTCGGCTCTTATCCCATAAATGTACGCTTCCTTGGCTTCCTCAAAAATGTGCTACCTTTAAAAAGGAAATAAACAGGCTTTCCAGCAGTATACTTTTTTATTGCCAACAATCATTTTGACAACAAAGAAATAATCCCGCGAACATAAATGCCTTTTCTTTTTGTGCTGTTTATTTTCTGTGCAGGGACGAAGGTATTAATGCACGTACTCACTTTACAATGAAAAAAACAACATAATAAACACATCAGATCAATCAAATATCAGCTCTTCAATGCCAATGACATTTGTAAGAATCATTTCACTTGCTTTTTTCCTTTAGCTATAGAAATAGTTCCTCTGCCTTTGCTCTGTATTATTTCATTTTGCATTAATGCGAAGGAAAGGAAAATAAATATGAAAAGCAGTAAGATCTCGCGCTGATTGCAATCATCATCACCTAACTATTAAAATAGTTTGTCTCTTCTTTTAGGTATTTTTCTTAATTCTCAGAGCTCAGATCCTCCTTGGGTCCGGAACTTTGGTCTGAAACGAGTCCAGAACGAAAAAAGTTGAAAAAAAAAAGCATTTTTCCTGCCTCGACTACCCGCTGACTTACGTGAAGAAGTCGAACTGCAGCAACAATTCTTCATACTATGTATGTCAATTTAAAATAGTTTGTCCCTTCTTTTAGGTATTTTTCTTAATTCTCAGAGCTCAGATCCTCCTTGGGTCCGGAACTTTGGTCTGAAACGAGTCCAGAACGAAAAAAGTTGAAAAAAAAAAGCATTTTTCCTGCCTCGACTACCCGCTGACTTACGTGAAGAAGTCGAACTGCAGCAACAATTCTTCATACTATGTATGTCAATAATATGCCGTCAATATAGGAAGCACTAAGGCCAACTTCAAAATAAGTCTTACATTCCTCAATAATATCAGGACATTAATGCCTTATAATGCTTTTATTTTGAAGACGGAACTTTGGTCTGAAACGAGTCCCGAACGAATAAAGTTGAAAAAAAAAAGCATTTTCCTGCCTCGACTACCCGCTTACTTACGTGAAGAAGTCTAACTGCAGCAACTATTCTTCATACTATGTATGTCAACAATTTGCCGTCAATATGGGAAGCACTAAGGTCAACTTCAAAATTAGTCTTACATTCCTTCATAATATAAGGACATTAATGCCTTATAATGCTTTTATTTTGAAGTTGTTCCCGGCAGTGTGTTGTGGCATAACAGCTGACTTGACTCGTCTTCCAGACAATGTGGCATTTATATTGTGGTCGCAAATCAACGTCAACAGCACAACTCTGTCCGGAAATTGCTAATTAAGGGCGCTAAAAAAATAAATAAAAAATTACGCTAGCACTGTCTTGTACTGTCCCCTGTTGGCAGTCTTTTGCGGTGGCCACGTAAGTGGCAAGTAGTGCTCAGGTGCTCCATATAGGCTGATGAGAACCGCCAGATTACTTTTGAAAGGCAGTTTATTGGATGCAAACTACACACTTTGATGCTGACAGCCTGACAGTTCCCGTTCACCACACCACACCACAGGTTTACTCAATCGCTAAATCGCAACTGTGATTCTGACGTCACTTTAGTTTCATAGACCAAGTCTAAAATCTCACTGTTTCTAGAGATGAAAACATTGTCCTGCTATTCCATTCTTTATTAAGTCGAAATACGTATTTTTTTCTTCAATATTTATAGCTGTTCTTGAACCAGGCAAAAAGATATGTATTTTTTGTTTTCATTCATACACCCGATTATTTGATAAAATTTTCAGTGGGATGTCCGAATCCCAAAATATTTGATAGTTGTATCACTCATGCAATTTAGAGTGTCTGATTGCTCAGATTTACTGAATATCTCTTATAGTAGTTATCATTACAATCCATCTTCTCAACAACTATGTTGATAGTATTAGGAAATTTAGCCATTACAACTAATGGAAACAAACATCGAAATGGAACCACAACAAAGTCCCATTTTCTGCGAGGACTTCAGGACATAAAAGCACAAATCTGTCTGTTTGAATCCTTTCAGAAGAATCATTTCAGAGTTGGCACATCCGGAATGTGGGTAATGAATAGGAGAAAGGTGGAATGAGGAACACATGAGCAGGAGTTAATAATCGTGGAGGTTCATATAATGAGCTGATCTGATATCTCAATTGGAGAGAGCAAAAAAAATTACAGTGGCCAACAATGAGCACTGCCATTGTAGTCAATATTAGATGAAAGAGATCTCATGCATATGCTGACCATTTCAGGCCATTTGCACAGTCGGCTGGTTCTCAGTTTTTGTGTAGGAAATTGGATTTTTGTCGTAATGTCAGTTAGTGGAATAGAATGACTTCAATACATTGGTTTGACTGTGAAAATCTTCAATGTCTTACTGATTTTACAGATTTTTCATCAGACAAACTAAATTGGAGGTCAGCTCTGCTGCTTTTGTCCACGGTATTCTCACCTTGAGGTGTGATATAGAGTGCCAAGAGTTTCAAATTATGTTCTACATTTTTCATCGACGGTTCTATTTTTCTTGCTATGCATATGACTTGCTATATATATATTTAGCTATTGAATGATGTCAATGTCATGTCATCGTATGAAAAATTACACGGACACTTAAAAGAGATAATGAATGAATAGCCTTTGCTGTTGGAACCTTCCCGGTCAAATGCCAACACACACACACACACACACACACACACACACACACACACACACACACACACACACACACACACACACCAAATAGTCGCACTGGACAGTGAATCACTTCTCATATAAAAGTGCCGAAGTGTAACAAATAAATTAAAACTCAGATATCCACCAACTCATATAAGCAGTAGTGGAATTGTAAATGGAATATCTGTGGCTTTGTGATACCCAGTAAGGGTAAGGTCAGAATGGAATAATAATGAAATTGTTTTTCCCAAACGAGGAAATCTTGCACTTATTACTTTTACTTGGTTAAAAAAAATGTTGTAAATGTAATTTGTAAGCTTCACGCTTGTCTGTATTATGTTCCTCAGCCCTGCTTACATGTCGACCTGATGAGTTCCAGTGTGGTGATGGCTCCTGTATCCATGGCACCAAACAGTGTAATAAAGTCCATGACTGCCCAGACTACAGTGATGAAGCCGGTTGTGTAAACGGTAAGAAACATTTGCAGAAAATAATGAAAAGAAGCACAGGAGGCATTGAGGCATTTTTTCCCCATAAATGTATCCAGTATATGCAGTGCAGATTGCCAATTGGATGAATAAATACAGCTGAGAAACATGGTGATGCAACCTTGTACAAATCAACTTCGCAAATGATTCAGTATTCATGTTGTAGTGATCACTACGAACTACTAAGTTCAGTTCACAAATTTTAAAATGAATTAGTTCAGTTTGCAGTTCATAATACAACATTTTGAATTTACCGTATTTTCCGGATTATAAATCGGCATTTTTTTCATAGTGTGGCCAGGGGTGCGATTTATACTCTGGAGCCATTTGTGTGTGAAAATATTTACACATTATAGCATTTCACATGTTATTTTCACATTTTGGCGGTAACTGATGAAAACAACTGACAATGACTCTGACGTAAGTGACGAAGAAGAATAAGAACCACATCTTCTACCCCCGGAGTTTGTGGAATTCTTTAAAAGTGACACAGAGGATGAAGATTTCATTGGATTTCATGATTTGGAGTGACACTGTTAGTTTGGTAAATTTTTTAGCATGTTCTATATGCTATAGTCATCATATAATGGACATTAGAGAATGGATTCACTTGAAACTCAATGAGGCAATGAGAGCTGCCGAAGACAGAGAAGGATGGAGAGAGCTGGTCAGCAGATCGTCTGTGGTGCCCCAGCGACCCTCTGGGGTTATGGGACAGACGAGACGAGAGATATGCTATAGTTATCTGAATCACTCTTAATATGTTACATGAACATACCCGACACGTACTCAGTTTGTTGTTTATGCGTCATTTAACGTTAGCATATCGTACACTTAGTCAGCCTGTTGTTCCTGATTTTTGATTCTTATTTTCCTTTCAGGATAACATGTCTGTTCTTGGTGTTGGAGTTTGTCAAGTAAATTTCCTCCAAAAATGCGACTGACACTCCAGTGGGACTTACGTTTTTTTCTTCTTTTTTCATGTATTTTATGTCTGGTACGACTTATACTCAGGAGTGACTTATAGTCCGGATAATACGGTAGTTCATTATGCCCCCCCCCCCGACCCCTCACTATGTTGCTGTGCACTATTAACCTCTGACTACAGGCAGTTGTTGCCACCCATTCAGTCCACACTCCTAGCCAGTTATAAGTTTCACCCTACAGTCTCAAAAGCATGAGGAAAAACTCGCTGCTTTGAATGCCTTTTTTTTGATGAGGCATTAAAAAAGAAGCAAGACTGTAGGTAGGAACCAGACTGAGGTAGGAAATTAGTTATCACTGCAGCCTTGTCCCTCTATCTGCCTGAAGCTACCTGTACACCAGGAGACTTTGAGAAGATTCGGAAAAGACCCTTGGGAAACTATAATCTCACACCTGTTCACATTTAAAGACAAGTCATCGAATTTTTTTTGTCACAGCCAAGCCTCAGAATGAGATTTCACAGAGACCGTGAATTTTGCAGGGTCACTCTTTGGAAAACTACAAGTCTTTAGGCATTTATTTTCCCCACAATACAATTTTTTCCCATCAGACTCAGTCGCATTTTGCCGGTGTTTCCCCATCATCATGCCGCTCATGTGATTGAGTTTTCGTTGCAGGTTGTGTCAGACGAAATGACTACCCTTGATATTGTCATAGCAAAGAAAAAGACTGATCTAAAACATCTGAAATCACCACCTTATAGCCAGCGATTCAGATGACAGTGTGACTCCAGTAAAGCTTGAAAACTTCCTTCTGAATCTGAGAAAGTCTGGGAAAATTATTAGGTTCAAGCCCAGCATCAGGCAGTCTAACGACCCACGTGTGACTTCAGAGTGCTCCGAAGCCAATTGCTTTCTACCGGTTTTCTTCATCACAGTAACACTGCCCACCCCCAGCAGAATCCAAAGGGAAAACGCCTTAATGCCTACCATGGACTAATAAACAATAACTTATAGTACCTTATTATTTGTGACCAATATGGATTTCCCTCGTGAGGGAACTGCCATAGTCTTTTTTCCCCCCCTCCAAGCTGCCATCACGCTTTACTTTATGATAACCCATGTGGCCCTGAGAGTCTCAGTGGCTTGGGTTTCCAAATAAGGCGTTTATCCCCCTACGTACACGCCCCTCCAAAAGTGTTGGAACGGCAAGGTCAATTGCTTTTTGTTCATATTGTTTTACTAAAGACATGTATGCTTCCGATCAAACGATGAATATCAAACAAAATTCTGAATTCTTTTTTTTTTTTTTTTAAACATGGCATTAACATCTCAATGTCAAGTCAAGTGGTCAGCTTTCTTGTCAAGAATGCTTTATGTACAACATACAGCACAGATGAAATTTCTTTCCTCTCAGATGTATTCAACAACTCAGGACAGAGCACCATTTGCTTGAAGCCACCCATTTTTCAAGTGAGCAAAAGTATCGGAACGGACATTATTAAATTAACTTAAAGTGAATGACAATCGGGAAGCCTAGTGGTAGACTGGTTCTCATATCAGCCTCACACTGCAGAGGTCATGGGTTGGAATCCGGCACCGGCCGGCCTTCCTGTGTGGAGTTTTCATGTTCTCCCGTGCCTGCGTGGGTTTTTTCGGGGTACTTCGGTTTCCTCCCACATTTCAAAAACATGCATGATAGGCTGATTAGACACTCTGAATTGTCCGTAGGTGTGATTGTGAGCGCGAATGGTTGTTCCTCTCTGTGTACCCTACGATTGGCTGGCAACCAGTTCAGGGTGTCCCCTGCCTGCTGCCCAAAGTCAGCCGGGATAGGCTCCAGCACGCCCGCGAACCCTGTGAGGAAAAGTGAATTAGAAAATGGATGGATGTATGAATAATATTTAATATTTGGTGGCATGACCCTTACTTGCAATAACTGCAAGCCTGCAACACATTATCTTCACCAGACTTTTGCTTTAATAATTTGAAAGGCTTTTCCAGGCCTTTCATTGCAGCCTCTTTTAGTTCTTGCATCTCACTATTATAAATCTCATGCTCTAAATCCTCACCATTCTAAATAACATCAACATCAATTATCATTTTGTTGCATTTTTGTGCAAGAGTACGATGCATGAAAGTTGTTTGATGGAATGCAATTTCGTGCCTGTGTTCACAGTTACAAAGTGTGAAGGCGCTCGACACTTCCGCTGTAAGAATGGACAATGTATTGAGAGCAGCAAGGTGTGTGACAATGTAAAAGATTGCAAAGACTGGTCTGATGAACCCGTGAAAGAGTGTGGTAAGATCATGTCTCCCTTAATCTCACACACACACACACACACCCACACCCACACACACACACACACAAATACTCATTTTACCGAAAGCTTCACAAATCCCAGCGCATTATGTATGCTCAAGCCAGTACTGCTTGCCACTGTTTAACATATTCATTTCCAGGCATCATCACGTCTAGTACAGTTCTTTTTAATGTGGGCGGTCACTCGTCCCGATAAGAGGAGCTTAATTTGATCAAGGCAGACTAAATCAGGACATTTCTCAACTGCCTTGTTATGATCAAAGGCCCCGGCGCCTCTGCCCTCTGGTGCTAGCTTAGACAGGAAAATGTGATCAGACTACATTGCCCATTAGGAACCACACAGATTATCCACACTCCGTAGATAATTACCCCTTAGCAAGCTTCAGTCACAGATTTCACTTGCCTCTCATTGCAAAGTAAACAAGAGTGCTGCAGTTGAGAAAAAGGAGACAGGTTGGTGAAATGTATAAAGGCTCAGAAGCTTCTTTTTTTTGAAGTAATTGCATGCACAAATGTATACGTGTTTTGAATACAAATGACAAACTGCAATTTGTAAGTACATGTATAGAACATATTTTGTTCTATATATCGTGTCTTTGTTGTGTAGCCAAGTGTTTTTCGAACCAAGGCGCATTTCTTTCATTGAAAAAATCCCGCGGCACACCGCTACCTAAAAATGTGAAAAAAGCTTATTTTAACAATTAAGTGTTATATTGTTACTACAGTGTAAGTGTTTTTTTAACATTGAAAATTAACGCAATATTATAACACATTGAATAGGAATCAAATCAACATCAATCCAATATTTGGTGCATTCGTTTTAATGGCAAGTAAAATATACTCAATTAGAACTTTAACTTGCTCAGGGTCGTATTTTTCTCTGTGTGACAGCCGGTTCTTTTTCTCCCGGTCATTTGCGCTCTCCCGCAATATTGTACCAATCCCTTTTCCCATCTTGAGTCTTTGTATAATTCCAACATCATTCAAATGACTCTTCTGCTGAATGTGTCGCTTGAGGTAGTCCAGCTTGCATTTTGTCTGTATTTTTCCATCGGAAAATTTGCTAACAGCTTAAGCTCTGCTGCATGTTTTGCAGAGCAGACCTTTCTCACTCGAAAAAGAAGATACCTCGCCCAGTTTCACTGCTTGTTCTTCTATTTGCACATACTCCCACAGCCATTCCAACTTACAAGAACCGCAGTTCATTCTTATTTTGTTTTGGGGAGTCGGCGTATCACGTTCACTGCCCGGTCATTTCGCCATGATAAAGGATTACCATTAGCGTCACTTATGGCCGGCGCATTGGTATTGTTATGGAGCAGAGAACATGTGCAAGTACTGTCAATGCCGTGATTGGCTGCATAGCGTCATTGCATTGTATTGTGTGATTGGCTGTACACCTGTCACTCACTGAATTGCACAGCAAATTGATACAGAAAAAATGCATGTTTTTATCCATATCGACATAATGCTTTGCCAGTACTGTACTGTATTAATCCTAACGAATATTAGCAAATTAAACTTGCTCAGATTTCTATTTCATTGGTGCAGTCTATCCCAGCCAAAAGGGTCTCTCTGCAATACCTGTAGCCTTAAATCTTTAATGTAAACCAGTAATGAAGCACCAGCTTTAGCTTTTTGAAGTGATCTCTCCACACTTCCCGAGGGCAACTGAAAGACAAGTAGATAAATGCAGACTTTAAAACAGATACAGTAGAGAAAGGGCATGCAGAGGTGCAAAGTGGGGAGAATTAAATGAGAGGATGAAGAAGAGCACGTGGAGAGAGCAGAATGAACAAAATCTGTGGGCGAGTGCCTAATGCATCTTTCCAAATTTCATTTTGGAGGAGTTATTGGTTTAAGGTGTGTCCAACATGAACACATAAATGCCCAAATAAAAGGAAGACTTATTTTACCCCTCAATTCTTTGGGATTAAAATGTTTTTGTCCTCCAAAACAACATGCTCACACACACACACACGCACGCACGCACGCACGCACGCACGCACGCACGCA